GGATCAAACTGGGATTTACTGGGGGGGTCACGGGGCGTGTCCCCACGCTGGCCCCGCCCCCTTTCCCTTAGCCCCGCCCAAGCCCCGCCCCCCGGAGCCGGACCCGCACTACCAGGAGCTGCAGGGCGCGCGCGGGGACCTGTACAGCGAGCTGAAGCGCTGAGCGCCGCCCCGCCGCCATTAAAGCGCTTTGCCCTCGCCATGTTTGCCCGTTTTCCCTCGATTTCGCCCCAAATCCGCGCCGGTTTTGGTGATATTTTTAATAAAGCTGTCGCGCTGCGTGACGTCACGGCGCCGAGCCGGAAGTGCCGCCCCCCCCTCCCGAGGCGGGCGGAAGTGGCGGCGCAGCTCTGGGCAAATGGCGGCGGCGGTTCCTCCCGGAGCGGCGGGGCCGGGGATGGCGGCGGGAGGCGGGCCCGGGGCCGCCGTGGTGCCGGCGGCCGGGCCCGGAGCGGCGGCGGGAGGCGGCGGGGCCGCGCTGAAGAGCGGCGAGGAGCGGCTGAAGGAGATGGAGGCGGAGATGGCGCTGTGAGGGGAAGGGAGCGGCGCGGCGGCCATGGCGGCCGGGAGGGGGCGGGGCTTGGGCGGCTGCCATGGCAACGGGGGCGGGGCCTGAGGGGGGGGGATGAGTGCTGCCATGGCAACGCGGCGCGGCTTGGGGGCGTGGTCTCGGTGCTGCCATGGCAACGGGGGCGGGGCTTCAGGGGGGCTGGATGCTGCCATGGCAACGGGGGCGGGGCTTGAGAGTAAAGGGGCGTGGCTTTGGGCGGCTGCCATGGCAACGGGCGGGATTGACAGCAAAGGGGCGTGGCTTGAGGGTAAAGGGGCGTGGCTTTGGGCGGCTGCCATGGCAACGGGCGGGGATTGACAGTAAAGGGGCGTGGCTTGAGAGTAAAGGGGCGGGGCTTTGGGCGGCTGCCATGGCAACGGGCGGGATTGACAGTAAAGGGGCGTGGCTTGAGGGTAAAGGGGCGGGGCTTGGGGTTACTGGGGGGTCACTGGGGGGTGACCAGTCCATACTGGTTTGTACTGGTCTGTACTGGTCTTTACTGTTTTTTACTGGTTTAGACTGGTTTATACTGGTTTATACTGGTCCTTACTGGGCCATGCCAGTGGTTACTGGTTTATACTGGTTTATACTGGGGCAGGTTCGAGCAGGAGGTGCTGGGGGCTCCAGGCCCCGCCCCCGGGGACCCCCTGGCCCCGCCCCCCGTCCTGCGGCCAATCATCGCCACCAACACCTACCAGCAGGTGAGCGTCCCAAAACGTCCCAAAATTGTCCCAAAAACGTCACCGAATATCCCAAAACGTCACAAAATTGTCCCAAAATGTCCCCAAATGTCCCAAAATGTCACCAAATGACCTCAAAATGCCCCAAAATAGTCCCAAAATTGTCCCAAAATGTCACCAAATGTCCCTAAAAATCCCCAAATATCCCCAAAATGTCCCAAAACGAACCCAAAATATCCCAAAATGTCCCCAAATGTCTGCAAATATCCCTGAAATGTCCCAAAATGTTCCAAAAATGTCCACAAATGACCCCAAAAAGTCCCTAAAATGAACCAAAATGTCCCAAAATGTCCCCAAATGGCCGAAATGGCCCAAAATGTCCCCAAATATCCCTAAAATGTCCCAAAATGTCCCAAAATTGTCCCAAAAATGTCACCAAATGACCTCAAAATGTTCCCAAAATTGTCCCAAAATGCTACCAAATGTCTCTAAAAATCCCCAAATGTCCTCAAAATGTCCCAAAACAAACCCAAAATATCCCAAAATGTCCCCAAATGTCCCAAAATGTCCCCAAATGTCCTCAAATGTCCCAAAAAGTCCCCAAAATGTCCCAAAAATGTCTCCAAAACGTCCTAAAATTGTCCCAAAATGTCACAAAATGTCCCCAAATATCCCTAAAATGTCCAAAAATGTTACAAAAATGTTCACAAATGTCCCCAAAATGTCCCTAAAATATCCCGAAATGTCCCAAAATGTTCCAAAAATGTCCACAGATGTCCCCAAAAAGTCCGTAAAATATCCTGAAATGTCCCAAAATGTCCCCAAATGGCCCAAAATGTCCCCAAATGTCCTCAAATGCCCCAAATGTCCCCAAAATGTCTCCAAATGTCCCCAAATATCCCTAAAATGTCCCAAAATGTTACAAAAATGTCCACAAATGTCCCCAAATGTCCCCAAATATCCCTAAAATGTCCCAAAATGTTCCAAAAATGTCCACAAATGTCCCCAAAAAGTCTGTAAAATATCCTGAAATGTCCCCAAATGGCCCAAAATGTCCCCAAATGTCCTCAAATGTCCCAAAATGTCCCCAAATATCCCTAAAATGTCCCAAAATGTTCCAAAAATGTCCACAAATGTCCCCAAAATGTCCCTAAAATATCCTGAAATGTCCCAAAATGTCCCCAAATGGCCCAAAATGTCCCCAAATGTCCTCAAATGCCCCAAATGTCCCCAAAATGTCCCCAAAATGTCCCTAAAATGTCCTAAAATGTTCCAAAAATGTTCCAAAAATGTCCAAAATGTCCCTAAACTATCCTGAAATGTCCCCAAATGTCCCCAAATGGCCCAAAATCTCCCTAAAATGTTCCCAAAATGTCCCTAAAATATCCCGAAATGTCCCAAAATGGCCACAAAATGTTCTTAAATCTCCCCAAAATGTTCCAAATTGTCCCAAAATTGTCCCAAATATCCCTAAAATGTCCCCAAATGTCCCCAAATGTCCCCAAATGTCCCCAGGTCCAGCAGTCCCTCGAGGCTCGCGCCGCCGCCGCCGCCACCGTCCCCCCCTTGGGGACACCCCCGGTGCCGTTCGTGGGGCCAGGTCAGTGCCACCGACGTCCCCAAATGTCCCCAATGTCCCCATTCCCATTTTTCCCAATTTCCCCCATTTTTTCCCATTTTTTCCCATTTTTTCCCATTTTTTCCCATTTTTTCCCATTTTTTCCCATTTTTCCCCAATATCCCCAATGTCCCCAATCCCATTTTCCCCAATTTTCCCCCATTTTTCCCCATTGTTCCCCATTTTTCCCCGATATCCCCAATGTCCCCAATGTTCCCAATCCCATTTTTCCCCAATTTCCCCCATTTTTCTCCCATTTTTCCCCATTTTTCCCCAATATCCCCAATGTCCCCAATCCCATTTTTCCCAATTTTCCCCCATTTTTTCCCAATATCCCCAATACTTCCAATGTCCCCAATCCCCTCAATGTCCCCAATGTCCCCAATCCCATTTTTTCCCAATTTTCCCCCATTTTTTCCCATTGTTCCCCATTTTTGCACAATGTCCCCAATGTCCCCCATGTCCCCAATCCCATTTTTCCCATTTTCCCCCATTGTTCCCCATTTTTCCCCGATATCCCCAATGTCCCCAACGTCCCCCATGTCCCCAATCCCATTTTTCCCAATTTTCCCCCGTTTTTCCCCATTTTTCCCCAATATCTCCAATGTCCCCCATGTCCCCAATCCCATTTTTCCCAATTTCCCCCATTTTTCCCCATTTTTTTCCATGTCCCCTCAGTGTCCCCGCAGCGCCCGCCCATCCTGCGCCCGGCCTTCGTGCCACACGTCCTGCAGAGACCGGGTAGGGACAGGGACAGGGACACGGGGGAGATTGGGAAAAAATGGGAGAAAAATGGGAAAAAATGGGAAAAATGGGATTTGGGGCACTGGGGACATTGGGGACATTGAACAAAAATGGGAAAAAATGGGAGAAAAATGGGAAAAAATGGAAAAAATGGGATTTGGGGCACTGGGGACATTGGGGGGGTTGGGGACATTGGGGACATTGAACAAAAATGGGGAACAATGGGAAAAAATGGGAGAAAAATGGGAAAAAATGGAAGAAATGGAATTTGGGACTGGGGACATTGGGGACATTGAACAAAAATGGGGAAAAATGGGAGAAAAATGGGAAAAAATGGAAAAATGGGATTTGGGGCACTGGGGACATTGGGGACATTGAAAAAAAATGGGGAAAAACGGGGGAAAATTGGGAAAAAATGGGATTGGGGACATGGGGGACATTGGGGACATTGAGCGAAAATGGGGAACAATGGGAAAAAATGGGGGAAAATGGGAAAAAATGGAAAAAATGGGATTTGGGACACTGGG